ACCATTCAATGCTGCGCTATGAAGTGGAGTTCTACCGTCAATTGAACAAGTGTTAACAGCGGATCCTTTGTCAATCAACAGTTGGATCAACTGATCGTGTCCATTTTGAGCTGCATCATGAATAGCAGTCCATTGATCTTCATCCACTGCATTCACGTCAGCATTGTTTGATATCAAGAGTTCTGCAACGTTCTTATGACCTTTCCGTGCTGCGGTATGAAGTGGAGTTCTACCAGTAGTTGAACAAGTTTTAACAGTGGATCCTTGGTCAATCAACAGTTGGATCAACTGATCGTGTCCATTTTGAGCTGCAAAATGAATAGCAGTCCATTGATCTTCATCCACTGCATTCACGTCAGCATTGTTTGATATCAAGAGTTCTGCAACGTTCTTATGACCTTTCCGTGCTGCGGTATGAAGTGGAGTTCTACCAGTAGTTGAACAAGTTTTAACAGTGGATCCTTGGTCAATCAACAGTTGGATCAACTGATCGTGTCCATTTTGAGCTGCAAAATGAATAGCAGTCCATTGATCTTCATCCACTGCATTCACGTCAGCATTGTTTGATATCAAAAGTTCTGCAACGTTCTTATGACCATTGAATGAAGCGGCATGAAGTGGAGTTCTACCGGTTATTGAACAAATGTTAACAGTGGCACCGTTGTTAATCAATAGTTTGATCAACTGGTCGTGTCCTTTTTGAGCTGCATAAGAAAGAGCAGTCCTTTGTTCTTTATCCACTGCATTCACGTCAGCTTTATTCTTTAATAAAAATTCAAAGATTTCAACAAACCCACGTTTCGCAACAACCAGAATCATATCCGTTAGGTTGCTTGTTGAGAATGATTTAAAATGTCCTTCTAAAGAGGAAATGATACTCAAACAGTCACACTCACATGCCCACAGTGCAATCTTCCAGCTTATTTTACACAGATTATTTAAGATCTTGAGATATGCCTGGTTTCCTTCCATCTTGGTCATAAACAATCTTCGAACAACAATATATGTAGACAAAATGTGTATGACAATTTCTCCTGACAACGTAAAAATGTTGTCGCATAGAAATTTTGCCACAAATTATTCACTGTAAGACCGATGGCAAAAATCAACCTTCTGCTGGACTACATGAACCAGTTGTGATGAATCTGATTCATGTTAGCATCGTTTTTTAAATTGATCATGTATGTCTCTATAATATTGATTTTTTAACAATTCCTTACGTAATTCAATGTTTAGCAGCTCCATAGCTAACAACTGATGCTTCAAAATAAAATCACCCATCAACCAATCCAATTCAGCGTCACTCAAAGCAAATTTGGGCTTAAATTTTTCCATAAATTTCTTGTGAAAACATCTTCTTATAAACTGTTCGTATAGCTGTGCAATATTCATTTTTTCTTTAGTCAGGTCAACGAGCTGATTGGTATTCTGTTTCTTCAATGAATGGTAATTTCTAAATTTTTCTAAATAAACCTCCGCCAGCATTTTTACCATGAGTGGCGCACCACAAATTTCGCCTAAATTTGAAGGGATATTTGATTTAAATGTGTTTAAAATATGTTTCGAGTAGCTTGCAAAGCAATGTTCATCTAGATCTGGTTCGTGCCACATCTTTCTGAAATAGTTGATTTGGTCTTCCACAATGAACGGCTCAAGAAACATAGATCTTACATTAAATTTACTCTCTAATAATACTTGCATATGTTTTCTGGCGCTGATAATGATTCGAATGCTCTTTTTCAACTTGAGTTGTTCCAGCATCTCAATCACCTTGTCGGTGTACTTGGAGTGGATCTCGTCGAAGCCATCCATCACTATAAGAATGGAATAGCCTCTGTCATCCCTTTCATGTGGGACATTTTCAATTAGATCGCAATTTCGCTCTGAAAGGATCACTTTGAGCACATTAAGCACCTTCAACTCTGAAATGTGTTCTACTTTTTCGAGCTCCATCAACAACTCGCTTAAATACACTAACAGTACATTAACGACATTTTGCTTCTGCACTTCAAATGCTACAAACTGAAGCAAGTTAGTCTTCCCCATTCCGGGGTCTGCCAGAAGTACGATGATCTGATGGTCTTCAAATGTTTGCCCAAGCTCTTCAACAAACTGAGTGTCACTCATCTGTCGTGAAAGTTCTTCAATTTTGTCTTCCATACCTGGTTGGTTGTCTTTATTAAGGAGATTTTCAGCCAGACGCTGGTTCATCTCGGCCTCTTCCAAACCTGTTTTCTCAATTTCAACGACATCTTCGTCATTGGTCGGTTTACTATATTTGTATATAATACGGCGATTGATGTAATATTTTTGCAATTGTTTTGCTTCCTTACCTTCAAGTTTATCGTTATCATTCTGAATTTCACTAAGACAGTTTAGTACATCACTTTTTTTCAACATTGCCTTCATTTTATTCTTTTTAGGTTTATTGAGTTGGTCAAATTTTAATATCAGATCGATTTCACTCAATTTTCTGAGAATTTCTGGACAGATCCACGATTTACACCACGTTCACAGCTCGCTTTCAATAATTGGATACCAATCATTTGGTTGACTCACCGATAGAGAAAAGTCGTTGAAGAATGCCATAATTTCCTCCTCACTAAAATAACGTGGCAAATGTTTCACCCTTAAGATTCTTAGTAAAAAGTTATTCACTGTTATTGTCTTCTTCATATCAAGCTTATCTTTTTCCAGAACTTTAAACAACTTGGCAACATTGATTTGTTCGCACCCGTAACTACCTTCAGAAAAGGTCGTTCAGGGTATCGTTGAATGGCTGTCTTTCAAACACGTTCTCCATCCTAGCAGGTCTGTTGGGTCCTTTGCTTTACAGCATCTACACTTCCGACATTCCTTCCCTCGGAGACAGTTGCGTGTTTTTCCTGTTCGCAGATGATACCGCAATAACCGTCAAGGGTAGGATGCCTCGCGAAATAACTGATTATGCCACCACGTTGGAAAATCAAAATCAATGCCTCCAAAACACAAACAATCATGTTCCTCCATCGGCAATCGCTCAAACTAAAACCGGCTCCCTCTTGTACTGAAATCATGGATGGCACAAGGGTTGAGTGGTCCGTCGAAGTAACCTATCTCGGGATGTTGTTTGACGAAAAGCTCCTATTCCGTTCGCATGAAGAGAAAACCGTATAGTGTTCCGCCTTGGTTAGGTTTTTTGTATCCGCTTATTTGCCGCAGATCCCGCCTTTCAAGGGTAAACAAACTGGCTGTCTACAAACAAATTATAGCACCTACGATCTTCTACTCAGCACCACTCAGACTCACAGGAACAAGATCCAGGTGGCTCAGAACAGAGTCTTAAGGATGATTATCGATCGTCCTTTCGACATTAAAATAATGAACCTCCTCCAAAAGGCGGACATTCCCAGAATATATTCAAAAATTGACGAGCAATTTGTACATGGTAGGTTAGGTGTACACAGTAGATTAGTTTAGTTGCAACCAATCCCACTAAGGTGGTCATTCTCTAAAACAGGCTTGATAGGACTAGGAACTTTAAATAATAGTTGAAAATTTCAAACGAACTAAAGTCGAAAAGACGCATCTGTGTCACTTGATAATTCATATATGTAAAGCTCACAAATACAAGAAATAAAGATCATTTAAGTCATAAAAGTCAAGTTAAATCAAGTGAAAGTGTTTGCATTTGTTCCTCCAGAACGTCCAAAAATCGAATCAACCGATGTCCGCCAAATACATTACATAGGGCTAGATATCCTGGCCGAAACCGCGGATTTCGAGAACAGATGTAAATAGTTCTGATTTCTTCGACAAGTTAGTTCTTCAACATTTGTCATCTTACTAAACATCGGATTCATCGGACATCGGATTATTTTCAGTGAACCGTAACGAAATTTGTCGCGAGAGGTCCTCGGTTCACGGTTTGTTTGTTCATTTATATATGAATAAATCACGGTCTTTAAAATGCATACAATAGCATACAAATCCACTTGTTCATTTTTGAGTTATAAACATTTTCAACAAACATCATTTATAACTTTTTAACAGAAAGAGATAGCAACTCTGTTACAAACATGCGCCATCAAATGTTCTATAAGTGCGTAGAACAAATCATTTGCGAGAAATCAAAGTAACCTTTTCAATACTAATGTAGATACAAACTTGAATCTTTAGCAAAGTTGCTTCAAATGAATTGTTCTGCAACTTTGTAGAACATTGCGCTGGTCTATCTCAAATAACTAAAAAGTTGATATTTCGAACTCAATATCCTTAAGGACCACCCAAATTTCACTTACATACCAAAAATTGGCCAAAAAATATATAACACCTTTTACTTTAACCCAATGGTTGATGCGCAAACATTTATGTCTTCCTAAATACGGCTTTGGTACCATTGTGCAATGCATGGCGATAATTAAACTGAACTGCAATCTAGTTTACCTGGCCCACTGTGCACTGCCAACAGAATTAACCATTCCGGAAACCAAAACACTTTCCCCCCCTAATTTCCGATGGGGCCGGAAATGCTATAGGTGATGCATGTGGTGTCTGTAGCACACCTACAGCCCCAAACTAGCGGGCGAAGAAAACTTTTCAATTCTTTTAGCATGCCACACTTCAATCCACCTAGTGGGAGGCAGTGAAGAAAACATAATTTCCACAAAAACGCGATAACCGTAACAAATGCAGACGCGGCGAAGAAAGAAGCTACGTGCCAATCGCCGACGCCAACGACGAGTCACGATTGGGCTTTTCGATTGTCTAAAATTTCAAGAAACAACAGTCTACTGAACTGATGATGGCTCCCCACAGTTGAGACTTGAGAGCCGGAGGGAACAAATCAATCAACTGCCTGTCGTCTGTCAGCCATTAGCTCTCGGGCCGCGATGCAGATTTGACACCAAGAACTGACGAGGATTTAATTGTTTTTTTCCCGTCGCGACGCGTCGTTGTTGCTTGAGGTGCGCTAATATTTTCCGACGAATTTTATGCCGGATTGATTGGGTGGTACTCACCTGGCTGTTGTGGTTATCTTCGGGTACAAGTCGAATCGGTTGAATATTTTGTGGGGTTATCTGTAACGAGCGAGAAACGGTTAGAAACGTCGTGGAACTGACATGGTGCGCTTGAACGGAAGAAAAAAATGGAGACAAGAAAATCGAAAACGGAAAATAATCAGTTCGGTTGGTTAACATCTTTGGTTTGTTTTTGTTTTGCAAAATGGTTAACAGTTATCTTTGGTTTTTTTTTCACAACTAGGCCGAAAGTGTCCCTCTGCTTTTCTTCTTATTTTTTTTTTGTTTCTACGGCGTTTTTTGGTTTGTCTAAATGCCACGGCAGAATTAATAAAATGAGATACCGGTGGAGCGCTCTTGCGGACAGTAGCGCAACGAGCGCATATAATGAGAGGAATGAGCGTCGCATGTGTCGTCAGTCGTTGAGTGTCGTGGGTAGCATACATGTTGGCGGATGACCATTGGATGGGGGATGGATAATCTTATTGGAATGGTAATGAAGGAAACATAAAAAGTGGGAATTGCAACGAGAAAAATTTAAAGGGGTGAAATTCGAACTGGAAATATTCACGGCATATTTTCTCGTTGATTATTTATTAAGTGATTATAAGTCCTCGATTGTACCAGTTTGAGTGTACATAGTTTGTGAAATTTCGGGAACATACATCTCAACGTGGCCAATGAGAATAATTCAGAGCGAGAGTCACTTCCACGCAGTTGTATGAGAAATTTTTAAAAACTGTTTTTTTTTTCATCTCCGAAAGTGTGAAGGGATTTTCAAGAGAATTTCCAGCAAATTTGATAAGAAGTCTATAAAGATCTTCTACTATATTTTAATCATAATAATAAAACAATTGGCAGGATTTTCAACAAAAAATAATCCATACTGGTTTTTAAGGCTAATCGTGTCAAATCTTTCGATAAATAAATTCAAAGTTTTTAAAGATGCTGCCGCACGTTAGGCAGCGCTGCCTTAAATGGACACACGTGACTTCCCAAGTAACATTGCAAGTTTTATCGAGGTTTTAAAGCATTCTACAAGTCTAAATCATGGTCAGAACCCGCATAAAACCAAAATTGTTATTTGCGTTCTATTAGTCTAAGAGTAATCTAGAACGACTTTAGGACATCTATGCGTCTACCATCAGTTCAAGTCTGATAGAATCACCATGGAACTTTAATCTTACCCATGCCTCTGTCATGGTGTTTACTCATGATTACTCCACGAGTAACCAGCTCCGAAATCCGGTGCTTCTCGTATAAAAGCTATGACCAAAATACCTAAGGAAATTTTCAGACGTCCATCCATTACTAAAGGCTGACTAAAAGTAAATTGGTACGCCCCTCGCGCGCCACTAGCACGCCTTTTGTGTTGGGAATCGAAAATCTTTGAAAGTGGTTTGTTGATATTTATATAGAGAACAACTGGTGCAAGTTTGATCAAAGTAGTCGATCGCGTTCAGAAATAACGTCAAATGGAACTCGATAGAAGAAAAAATATTGTGCACAAGCAACTGGAAAATCCGGATTGGTCCGGTTCCAAGCTGGCTAAAGTGCTGAAGAAGCCGAAAACAACAGTTTGTCGAATGCTCAAAACCTAAAAGGAAACCCTGAGTGTGGAAAGGAATCAGCGGACCTACGAAAAAACTGGAACCAGGGGTCGTCCGCTGCACAGCAAGGTGTTGAGGTGCGTTAAAACCAACCCCGGTCTTTCGATCCGAGTGGTGGCCAGAAGGTAAAACGCCAACTTCCAAACGGTGCGGAACATCCTTGCCAGGGAAGGATACAAGTCATACAAAGTCAGTAAACATCCGAACCGGCACATGAAGTAGAATTCCGTGAGCGTGCAAGGCTCTTGTACGACCGTGTTTTGACGAAACACAAGGGCTGCATTTTGATCGATGACGAAGCATACGTGAAATTCGATTTTAGGCAGCTTCCCGGTCAAAAGTTTAACATCGCGACGTGGGGATGTGCCGGGAAGATTCAAGTTCGTGTTTGCCGACAAGTTCGTGGAGAAGGCCATGCTTTGGAAAGCGATTTGCAGTTGTGGCCTGAAAACGGAACCATTCTTCACATCCTCGACGATGACATCCCAAGTTTACATCGAAGAATGCCTGAAAAAGCGTGTATTTCCGTTCATCCGCAAGCATAGGGGAGAAGTCATATTTTGGCCCGATTTGGCCAGCTTTCACTACTCCAAGGTGGGTCTTTAGTGGTATGCTGCCAACAAGATCGATTTTGTCCCAAGCTAATGAATCCTCCGAATTGCCCGGAATTTCGATCAATCGAAAAATACTTGGCAATTTCAAAGCTGCGACTTCGACGAAGCGGCTTGACTACCCCAAGGACATCCAGCAAATGCGGGCAAAATAGAAGAAATGCGCTGATTCCGTGTCCGTTTCCACTGTGCGGGCGCTGATGGGCTCTATCAAGAGGAACGTTCGAGATTTCGTTCGAACTGGAGAAATGTAACTATCTAATGCTGTAACATTGAAGTTTTAATAACTTACTGTAAATTAACCATTAATGGACTTTTTACACTAATTTAATCACGAATTACAGGTCTTTTTGTGCGTACCAATTTACTTTTAGTCAGCCTTTTTGCGCTTATTTGAGAAAAATTGCACAGTCTTCGCCCTGAATATTTATTAAAATACTACAAATTCAAAAACAAACGTATTGAGTGTTCACTTGGCTCTCGACAGAAGCAGACTTGGCTATCGACAGAAGCCAGGGTGTCACGCGATCGTCTGTTTTACATTGTTTGGTCCTCCTCATTGTTCTTCATCAGCAGTTTTTTCGGTCGATGCGTCGTCGACTTTGGAAAGCAATCGTTTCGTGATGAGTGTGTGAGTGCTGATCATGTTTTGCGTCCATTACTGCAATGGAAGCGCTCTGCCCCCCGTTGGCGATACTACCATTCAATTGGAAGTGGCTCCCGTTCTGATGGAGGAGGCTTATTCGATAGTGGAATATAAAGTGTGTATTGTTGTACCTTTTGACTATAGTTTTAAGATGTATTGTAAATTGAACGAGAATCCTTGGCTCTGTATAGTTAATTCAAATAATTCAATATACAATTCAAATTAATTCCTAGCAAAATATCAAAAGAATTGTATTCTGAGATTTTTTTTATAAAAATGGAAGAAAATTAATTAGAATTCCAAGGGATTTCTGAAGAGAATTCCGACAGGTTTCTGATGAGAATTCTGAAGGATCTCTGATGAGAGTTTTGGCTAGAGTTCAAATAATGTTTTGAGCAGAATTTCAAAGGAATCGAATTTTCAGGTTAGTTTCAAACGAATTTTAAGGAGAATTCCGTGGAAATTCTTAGCAGAGTGTTACGAGAAGAGTTTTCTGGTAGTTCCAAAGAAAATCCATTATAATTCTAATTGAATAATTTGAATTAAATAATTTTGATTTGAAACCGAAAAAAAAAAACCTTCCGGAAAATTACGGGAACTTCAGGATAGATCAAAGAACTTCAAGGCAGTTCAAATAACTTTAGGAAAATTGAGGAAACTTTTTAAAAAGTTCTGAAAACTTCAGGGACGTTTAGAGAACATTATTGAAGTACATAGATATTTACGACAGTTTCAATAACTTCATTACCGAAAACTTTAAAAAAGTCTAGACTGTCGAGGAAGTTTCAAGATCTTGAAGATCTTTTTTCGGATCAAGAAAAGGTGCTGATAACAGTATTATGATAGCCAACGCTTCGATCGAAGGGTTGAAGCGGCTAGATTTTTAGCTTTGGATCGTAAGATTTTTGCGCTGAACGACGGGACAACTTTATATACCCAGAAGAAGGCCAAGTTCAAAGACTTAACCCAAGAGCAGTCGCGTCAAATCATCGAAAAATGAGCGCTATTTTTGCAATCGAATATAAAAGAGAATGTCACTCTTTCGAGTGTTTAAAGATTTTAAAAATATTCAAGGAAATTGCCAGAAAATTTCCCAAAGCTTTTAAAATGAAGTCTTGATTTTTTTTTATGAAGTCCGTGATTTTGGAAATTTTTCCATATCTTATCCCCCTTGAATGTACAAGCGACCCTCATTTCAGAATTGTCTTGAAATTTTGTTCAGAATCATTATCTAGAAAGTCGTTTCGTGATGCCCTTGGAATTATCCTTGAAATCCCTTTGGAATTAACGCTCAAAATTCGATTAACTTTATGTTTTTCACGGACTGATCTCGAAAAAATATATATGGAGAGAAATCTAAGCCAATTCTCGTGAGAATTGCAAAGAATACGAAGATAAATAGGGGAAATGGATGTAATGTCGCCCTAAATGCCCCTAATTTGGGCCAAGCAATCGACTAAATCTTCAATAGCTACAAAAAATATCCATTAGTACCGTCCCAATGACGCTTTCATTTAGATAAAATTGATAAATAGCAGATTTTGAGCGATGGGTCCAATCTTAGATCCATAGGCCAACATTAGAGCCATATCCCCTATAAAGTGAATTAACAGAGCATTCTAGAGGAAATTCCTTAAGTGTTCTGAAAAGAATACACTAATCCGTTATGGAGAAACTTTATAGGAAATACCGAATCTTCCCGTTTTTCTCCCGGAATTTTGGAAATTATCGCGGTTTAGGTATTTTAATTAAGCAGAAAACTGAAAGCGATGAAGCCGATTGTTAAATTGATAATTTCTAAGGCAGCAGCACCTTTGCTGGATCTTGAATTTGGATCTGCGACAGGTTCGAATTCTTCACACTTTGTGTATGAAAATGTCGCTCAAAACCTTACAGGCTTTTATTTGATTGTTCTCAAGCCTTTCCTTTAGATTAATTTCCTTTCATGGAGATCTCTCTAGAATGTTTCTAAAATTAATTTGAAATTCTCTCTGGAAATCCCTTTAAATTGTTTTTTAATAGTACAGTACATCCTACTACAGCCTCATAGCCTAGTCAGTAAAGGCACGGTATTACTAAGCCGGAGGCGGCGGGTTCGATTCCCGGTCCGGTCGAGGGAATCTTTCGGGATGGAAATTTTCTCGACTTCCCTGGGCATAGAGTATCATTGTGCTTGCCATACAATATATAAAT